CCAGACAACTACAGCCAGACAACTACAACCAGACACTACAACCAGACAACTACAGCCAGACACTACAACCAGACAACTACAGCCAGACACTACAACCAGACAACTACAGCCAGACACTACAACCAGACAACTACAGCCAGACACTACAACCAGACAACTACAGCCATACAACTACAACCACACAACAACCAGACAACTACAGCTGGACACTACAACCAGACAACTACAGGTGGACACTACAACCAGACAACTACAGGTGGACACTACAACCAGAGGCCCTGCACTGACATAATAATGACAACAGGAGGACAGGGTTCCCCAGTCTTAAACGCTAACTGATTTATTTTAACACACCAACAATCTGATAAAAGTCAGTCTGTCTGTGTCAGTCAGTCTGTGTCAGTCTGTCTGTGTGTGTCAGTCTGTCTGTGTCAGTCAGTCAGTCTGTGTCAGTCAGTCAGTGGTCCCAGGGCCCTCATGTTTATTTGTGAGCAGATATCTGATCGTCCTGGTAATTATAGCCACAGCTCTGTGGTCCAACCTCAGTCTCTTGGTCTTTCCAGTCCATGACAACAGGAGATCCAAACACAGGCTCACCACACACTGATATGGACTTACCAAAAAGGTCTGCAAATGGATCTCTGCCTCCAAAGAATTCCCTGAAAACGTCCTCAGGATTACGGAATGTGAAGCCGCCGCCAAAGTGATCGTAACCGCCTCCTGGCCAAAAAGGGAAATGCATCAAAGGGTGTCATACTTCCAACTGGGTCATTACAGGTGACACAAACATAAATATCATGCCTCCAGTGGTGGACATTATTATAACAACAGACAGACTTTGAAGTCATTCCCTCACCTCCTCCTCCCCCTCCTCCCCCTCCCCCCGGGTTTTTCCGTATCGGTCATAAATGCTCCTCTTATCTTCTGTGGGAAGAGTTAGGACAGAGTTCTGAGTTCTAAGTCCTGCTTACCATCAAAACCCACAGAACCAAAGTCATGTCCTCACCCCTTATTGGGGGACACCAGGGAGTCACTCAAGGCATTTTATAATGTATTTAGAGACACAGTTTAGTTGAAACATTTTTTACATGTTTTATTTGTAATTGGAGGTGTACAGACCCAATGATAAACAGGGGCTCTGTGCTATGGGACCATGTGGCCAATCACTAATCTTAACATGTAGAGCTTTACACACTCACTTCACCAACCAAGTATGTATCTACTTGGATTAACAGCACCACCTGCAGGGACGTGTTTCCTTTAGCAGCTCACTGAGCCAATAAAAACACTTCAATCAGTTCATATTAACAACAATAGGACCTGACTCTCATCTAAGCTACAGCCAATCAGACTGTGTGCTGCTGCAGGTTGGTGACGGTGTGTGTTCTGTTGTTTCACACTGGTGTCATTCACCACTGTCTTCTTCTATAGGAGTACAGGGTTCAGGGGGCGGGGCCAATCACACTCATTCTCCCTGTCTCTGCATATAGACATTCCTGGCATAACTGCTGCGTCTGTCAGAAACAATGAGCTTTTCTGCACCTTCAGACCTTCAAAATGTAAAGTTGCAGAAACCAAAAGGCCAGGTGTCAGGACCAAGAGAGTCAGCTCTGACCTTTACACTCAGGACTCTGTCCACACATTCCAGCCTAAACCCTCCAGACTGAGAGCTGACACACCTGCAGCACAGACCTGGGTGTGTGTGACACCTAGCAGTTAGCTAAAGCACCTGACAGCCTTCTGTTGTGGAGCGGTTCCCAAAGTGGGGGGCAGGACCCGCTGCAGCAACTTCAATGTTGTCTGTACTCCTTGTTTTTTCTTTTTGTGAAGAGTAGTTTTACACAGATCAGTGGAGTTTTAAAGCTTTTAAAAAAATGAACAAGGTGAAAAAGAAAAGAAAAGAAAAGAGAACTCTCACCATCTGAGAGAACTTCATAGGCCTCCGACAGCTCTTTGAACTTCCTCTCTGCTTCTTCTTTGTTGTCTGGGTTCTTGTCTGGATGCCACTTCAGTGCCAACTTTCTGTATCTGGAGGACAAGGAAAAACACAGCCAAACCTGAGTTTTCCTTCATAAATGTATTGTAACTGTCAGGTGGTAGTCAGCGTTAGCCTGACTGCACCAGCAGTAGAACACGATGGTCTTTGATGCTGATGTCTTTGTCTCGTTGACCAGAGTCAGTGGTGCTGATGAAAGGAAGTCTTCAGTTCGTGTCCACACAGAAACATAAAGCAGCAGATACAAACGTGACCATGACTTTTTAATTCAGTTCAAAGGTTGAACATCATTTTGAAGCTCTTTTGCTAGAAATGTAGACATGATGATGTGGGTCAGTACTGACACCATGTGACCTTGGGGTCAGTACTGACACCATGTGACAACAACAACAACAACAGAGTGGGGACAAAGCTGAGAGGAAACATATACGAGTGGAAACAAGACTCATGTTGGGTGGTTGGACAGTGGACAGTGGACAGTGGACACTGGGTGAGCACCACTGGAAGGTATTCTGACAGGGACAAGGTTACAGGAAGTAGAGTGGAAACATTGTTGCATTAAATCCCCCCCGCCCCCCTCTCCACTGTATGTACAGCTGGAGGTAGAAATATCAGACCAATCACACCAGATTGTACTCACTCAAAAAGACGGGGGAGGCTGGGGGGGTAACACTGGGGGGCAGAAAACACTCAAGGACACTTACGCCTTTTTGATGTCGTCTTGCGTTGCTCCTTTGGGAACTCCTAGTATCTGGTAGTATTCCATCATGGTTCTGTGTGTGTGTGTGTGTCTGTTCTGCTGCTGCGTCCTGTGTTTGTTCCTCCAGTGGACTCTGAAAGAGAAACATCACAGCTGTGTTAAGACATGTTCATCTGTAGAGACAAGGTCCACCAACTGTGACGCAGCGTAGACATGTGTGATGTTCCAGATACAGCAGGGTGGGGCAGAACCCTGTAATAACACTGTAATAACATGCACTGATGCAGACGTTGAGGATGGAGAGAAGCTGAGATAAAACAAATCAAGTGATAAGAGGCTGGTCACGGTCCCTGGTCACGGTCCCTGGTCACGGTCCCTGAGGCTGAGGGACAAACTGGGAATCATCACGTCCTCTTCATCTCAGACTGAAGAACTTTGTCTTCTGATGTAGTTATGAAGGTATGAAGGCCAGGCCTCAGAACATGACAGGACAGGTCTGATGCTGCGATGAGGAACTACTGATGATGATGATGATGATGATCAGTCAGCTGGAAAAATAAAGTAGCCCCAGGCAGGATTTCCCCCCACCCCCGCAGCCAGGTCGGTGGTGTCAGTCAACAATGACAGGTGTTAACAGACATTGGTAAGTTAATGGAGCTGACGTCTTAATTAACACTGTTTACATGTGACATCATCATCATCATCATCATCATCATCATCATGTCAAATGTCTCCAGTGCAGTTGCTACTGCTCACTGTCTCTGAACAGTCAGACAAACCGTGGGCTGCAGGAGAGGGTGGTTGTGGGTGGGGTGTTGATCTGCTCCCAAGATTCCTCGTTAGTCCAAGTCTGCACTAGTAGGATTGGATTTATCATACATCTCAACCAATGAGAGCCCTCGGGCGGGACGAATGTTAGAAAGATCAACGTTCTCCCCGGGGAATGGATGTGACATCATCATCATCATCAACAACAACGACAACGACGACGACAACGACGACAACAACATTTTAACCTACCAAGTTACATGAATGACACATTTCACACATTCATGGCAACAAAGCAAAATGAGCAAATTCAATCAGAAACACCAAACTCTTCAGAAAGCTCAGGCACTAATGTGTGAGAGTTTGCCTTCCACCTAGAAGGTCACATGTTCAATTCCAGACTGCATAAGGACTGGCATCCTTCAGAGTTGGACCAATGACAAATGAAAAGCCAAAGGCTATTCCAAAGGGAAATGCTGTAAATCACTTCACCCCCTCCCACATCCCCCCCCCACACACACACACACCCTCAAACTGCTGCTCTGAGGGCCACGTTGTTGGGGAGCGTGTCGGCATCTAGTAAAAAAGTGTGCCAAAATGACTGGGCATTATATCAGATGTTGATGTCGCCCACATGACCACTTTAGCCCAGTGACAAAAATCCCAACACAAGCACCAAGTGGACCAGGACCAGGACCAGGACCAGGACCATGAGAACGATTTGGACCAAACCTTCAAAAATAATCACATTTCTTCTGTTCTCCTCTTGGATGAGCAGAGAAAACGTCTTCTTAGAAAAAACTTCACGTCCAGTTACTGAAACACAGTAATACTACAACTATTCAACAATGGTAAACACACCAGTGTGTACTACAGTACGTCACACACTCAGGGTCCACTGTGTCCTGTTTATCTGCTATTTATAACCTGTGGCCTTTGCAGTTAGATTATGTCTGTGTGTGTGTGTGTGTGTGTGTTCCCAGTTCAAGAGATTACCGTAGTTGATGTAGTAAACCTGCCTGTGAAAGTGAGGCCGACTGATTGACTGCTTTAAATCTCTCCTGCAGGTAACCTTTGGTGTCATCATCCCTCCTTTATTTCCTTTCATCTTCGTCCCATCTCTTTTTCCTTCATCTACCACAGATGGTAGGATTCAACTGAGTAGCTGTGATTACATGAGGCTGAATGGCTAATTACAGCAGTGGTTCAATGGTTCAATGGTCCAATGGTCCAATGGTCCAATGGTTCAGTGGTCCAGTGGTCCAGTTGTCCGGTGGTTTAGTGGTTCAGATGTTCGGTGGTGCAGTGCTCCGGTGGTCCAATGGTCCAATGGTCCAATGGTCCAATGGTCCGGTGGTTCGGTGGTTCAACGGTTTGGTGGTCCGCTGGTCTGGTGGTTCAGTGGTCCGGTGGTTCGGTGGATGGGCTGCTGCTGCTGTGCACTGGTCCCTGAACACTGTTGAATTTCAATGACTTGATAGATTTTTGACCAAACTGACCGCAGCAGCATCTGTTTGAACAAACCTCAGGACATGAAGTTCTGTTCTGTTCTGTTCTGTTCTGGACCGTCAGGAGGGACTCAAACTCACTTAATGTCTGACAGTTGATCTGAACGTTTGGAACTACTGAGAAAGTGACACGTTCTTACAAATACCCCTTGTTGCCCTGTTCTAAAGGGCAGTGGGACAACAAAGAACCCTGGGGACAGATGTTGGTAGAGGGTGGGTTTCATTTGGAGAATTCCCAACAAAATATTGATACTGAGTGAAAAAAGAATTGTAGGAATCAAACTGAGGATCGGGGCCCTGGAGGACCTGGACATTCATGTCACTGTGAATCTTCAACAACATCTTGTTCTTTTTTTTGTCAGGTTTCTGTTGTATCAGTGGGTCAATGACCTTGTTCTTTTTTTTGTCAGGTTTCTGTGGTATCAGTGGGTCAATGACCCAAACGTCAGCCTGGAGGAAGTTCAACGGTTTACCACGTAGGTATAAATTCTGTCAACGATAATTTCCCAAACGCTGACGTTAACTGAAACTGTGAGAGAGAGAAGCTCAAGGTTTCTGTCTGCTGATTTCAATCTCAGATTAAATCTCAACGTTTCAGTTTCTGTCTTTTCTGACCAGTAAAAGACACGTTTACAGAGCAGCCTGCAGATGTCTCAGCAGAAATAAGGCTGAGCTTGAATGTTTCATAGCAACAAGTGATGAACGTTGAATATTTAACACAGAGTTGAATGAGTGTCAGGGTCAAACCCCGAGTCAGACGGAAGGCAAACGCACAACAACAGGAAGTCTGCTTGAAAAGTACCACGGGTTGAGCAACAACAAACGTCTCAAACACGTTTCACTGACAACTTTCACACAACGACCAAAACCACTGTTTCAGGAACACGTTCTCATCACATTTACTAAGGATGCACCAAAAACTGAACAGAGAATAATCCAACAAATGGTCAGAATGTAAAGTCATGGATTTCACACATTTGCTTTGTGACCTTTGACCAGTAAACACACACACACATCAACAACAGTGGGACATTCACTTGGTGTTTTATATTCTGCAGTTCTTGTCTATTATTGCCTCTCTTATTCTACACTGGCTGGTGGTATTGAATGTCCTGTACTTAATCCCCAGAGCACCTCCTGGTGTCCAAGGGAAACAGTGAAGCCACAAACAAACTGAGCGTCTAAATGGAGCAGAGTGATGAGTGACGAGGCTCCTCCTTCACGGCTTCACTCACTGGTTCAGTCCAAAACACACCTGTCCAACCGACGTGTGTCACACGTCACACAGCGGAGAGAACGACGTCTCCTTCGTCCTGTTCTGTCATTGTTGACATTAACTTCAATTTGACCACAAAACATTCAAACAAAACCCGACGAACCCTGACTCTGCCATAGTTGATGGTTCCATTCCCTTCAACAGTCACCGTTAAAATGTTAACTCGATCACTGCCACACATCACAATGACAGTCACACTAACAGAACCCTAACAGTACAACACCGGGGTTCGTCAGTCAGTACCGACCCACAGAGGACGACATAACCACTGAACTGTACAACGTCCAGAGCTCCGGGCCGGGACCGGGACAGGGACCGTGGACGTGGGTCAGGACGGACCACAGCTAACCCTCACATGTGACGTCAGCTACCTGCAGCTCCACTCGTATATTTATAACTTCTAAATATATACACCATGTCGTCCACATTTAGTTCAGAAGTTACGTCTGTTCCTGTTCGTTCTGACATCCATTGTCAACAGGCCAATCAGCAGCAGGCAGCGGGAGCGGCGTGGAAACTTCTAGAACAACTCACGAACAACCGAGCGAACACACAGTTGTCCTTTAGTCACTGCAACACCGTATTATTCAAACCGAAATTGAAAATACAAAAGCACCAGTAAAAACGGGGGTTTGTGAGAAGACTTCCGTTCAGTGTCAGCCTCCAGAGAAGCTAAACTGGTTGAAGGGACATGTTGCTATCAAGCTACAACCAAGGGCGTAAATCACACACTTTACCGACTCGGAAACTCCACAAACGTCCACGTCAATTCAGAGGTTACGTTTTTGTGTGATACGGTTTGGAAGCGAATACTGTTTATAGCTAAAAACACCATGATTCGGGTGATGACGTAGCTGTAGTTAGCTAGCTGCACGAAGCTCCATTCACAACATTGACGTACTTTTAAAAACGCCACACGGTAAAAAATAAATCGAAATAACCATTTAATCCAGACAGTTACAGGGTGACCAATGGTAAAACTATCCATCCGACTCCCCCTGTTAGTGAGGACGAAGGCGGGCCGCCACCGTGAGTTAATAACTAACTATAACTAACTCCACATTTCCACTCACCCGTGTGCTCTCTGTCCACTGTCCGTGTCTGCTCGGTGCCGTCTCTCCTGCTGTAGTCACACCGTGGGGATTCAACTGAGTGTTTCTTCTGGTGCTGGTGCTGGTGCTGGTGGTGATAATGGTGCGGACACTAATTCTCACTGGGAGACTGTTGCTGCTGCTGCTGCTGCTGCCTTCAGGGACTGTCGGGAAAAAAACAATTACACGAGCGAACGACGACAAACGTTCAGATTCTATGGTAGAGGATTGAAGGTTGAAAAGTCCAAAAGATCCTGAGTATATTCTCACTATTCAGACAAGAAGTCAGTTCACATATGTTAAAACAATTTTCTCCGTTTGTATTTAAATATATCGTTTTATTGAATTATATATCTGCCCAAACCCATAATTCTTTTTTCGCTCAGATTCTGACAGTTTCTCTTTGAGTTTTTCTGAAGAGATTCCGTTTAGGTGTAACACGTGACCGAGTACTTTTTTGTTTGTTTGTTTTTTAGTGCGATTGGTAATTTTGTTCTATTGTCCACTAACCCACCCTGGCCGTAGACGCGTGTCTGGTGACAATGTTTTTCCCAGTGAGACGTTCTTTTAAAACCACATCGTATCACAACTAGTATAAGAGTTGTAGGTTTTACGAGTGACACTCGAATGCACCGTGTGTGAGTGTCGACTTCGGCGCAGATCTGTCAACACTAACCGTGACAAACTGACAGAAAACAGACGCAGCAAACGCAGGACACGCCGAGTGACGTCACTCATAGTCCATTCATATCTGATTTGAACATTTATAAAAAGTCGCTTCAACCACTCAGTTCTAACGGCTTCTGTCAAGTTGACGTTCGAGGAACCGTGTACTTTAGCGCCATCTTTCGTGCAGTGTGAGAATAACTGACAGAGATACCATAGATACAACAGATAATCACGTTTAATAGCAGGATTTACTGACTGTTTGCTTCACAGTCATCTAGTTCTTACAGATTAGGATATCTCAGGTTATTTTATTAAATAAAAAAGATCGGTAGAAAATCTTGTCTTTACCTCCGCTGTGCATATTAAGGATCAAATATAACTATTTAGATGTTATATAACTTTTTTTATTTTTAAATTCAGGGTCAACTTTCTAAACTTTCTGTCGTGTCAGTGGGTTCATCAACTGAATCTGAACTCATCATAACCTTTCCCTGGAAAACGGCTCTCTGCTGCTGGACTGTGATTTCAGACTGTAGAGAAATCACAGAGCAGCATTGATTTCAAACGGGAAATGAAGGACTTTGCTGCAGTTAAATCCCAAAGGAAGTGTTGCCAAAGAAGGAAGACCCAATGAAAATGAAGGATGGCCATTGATTATAATGAAGATTATGAGCATCAGGAGCTAATTAAACTCATCAGGCAGGACGAATCGCTGCCATTGATTTCACACACAGGTCATTACATATATTACAGCCAATAGCGGCTCCTAAATGCATTCACGTAGACTTTTCTGCCTCTCATTGATTGGTATGAGTAAAGACTGCAATTACACTTGATGAGATCCAAAGTGGGGAAGATCAGTAACAACTGCTGACAGACAGTCATAGGATGCACCGTGTAACAGGGACGTTTTCACACCTGAGAAAATAGTCTTTGTCACATACTGTCATGGCGTCTTAATGCGCTGCTAACAAACCCCACACATGCCTTTGTTTACAGCTACACATTCATGCAGGACAAGCAGCTGTACTTCACTTCTCTTCAGGTAGCCAAGGCAATAAGGCTAAAGTGTGGCTGCTACAACAGAGTATCCTTGAACTCTTTCCAGAGGGTCACTCACCAGGATGAGGTGCAGCTCATTTATGAGGAGGTGTCACATCTACAGTGGCTCAGTCTGAAGGGCCTTGAACTCCTTGATTCTAGCAGCAGTTGAGAGAAACACAAAGGTTTCCTTTAAAAAATAATGTCATTCAGGAAGTGCTTTGTATGAAGAGCAAAGACACCAGTTTTTGAAAACCAATAAATGTAATATCTACATACGATTAATATACTGAATTATACTCATTCTATTCTTTGGTGTTTGAAAAAAAGTTATACAAGTCCAGATTCTGATGTGATATTATTAGATGCAGTAGGGCGAGTCACTAGCCCGGGTTAGCATCTAGCAGTCATCGTACATCATTGTAGTCTGATAAATATTCCTCAAACTGGAACACTGAGTTAAAATACAGGTTTTAGCTTCACTGTTTTTCAGATAAGCCAATTTAGAAACTGTATTTTGGGGGAAATGAACTCATGTCCTGATACAAGGTATACAAGGTTCCACCGGTTAACGGTGTAAGGTGAAGTACTTGGAATCCACCACTAGATGGCAAGCCACTATAATCAATAGGTAGGTATAGCGCTCTCAAGCTGCTGTGACGTTGATGGACGGGCTGCAGATGCTGATGCAGCCGGGTCTGTGTTTGTACTTCCGGGTCATGACTCACCTCTCTGCCGAACCACCAGGATGATTTCTCGGTTCTGGACTCGACCGCACGCCGCTCCTGTTGATGGCTCCTCTGCAGTAAGGTCGTCCAGAGTGGGGCCCGATCTGCAATCACCGCTGAGTGATTTCTGATGTTTCCCTGCTCTGCAGCAAGATAAACAAGGCTAAAAGCTTCAATTAGCCCCTAAAAGGCCTGTGAGCGAGCTGAAGTATATTACCCACCCAGGATGATTCATAACAACCTGCATTAACTTTGTCACTTATAATCCATCACGGCCTAATAGTCTTAAATAAATCTCATGGTAATTGAGATGAATCCCTCATTTCAATGACAAGTCTGGTTTTTAAGACCCAATTACCACGGTGAGCCTGCTGGCCCAGAGGATGTGCAGAGTTGGGAAAAGAGGGGCAGCCACTCGGAGCGTTCCTGCCCAGGGTGGAGGGATGGAGGGTTGGAAGGGTGGAGGGATGGAGGGGTGGAGGGTTGGAAGGGTGGAGGGGTGGAAGGGTGGAGGGGTGGAGGGATGGAGGGGTGGAGGGATGGAGGGGTGGAAGGGTGGAGGGATGGAGGGATGGAGGGATGGAGGGGTGGAGGGATGGCCTGGGCCCAGAGAGGGACGGACGTGTCAGAGCGCTGCGGCATCAGAGGGCGGGTGGATTTATGACAGACCCAATCTTCATTAGCGCAGGGCCAGAATATCTCTGCTCAGTGTTTCTTAACTGGATGTTTCTTTAATTATATGTCAAAAGGCCATTAAAGCCAGGAGGAGATTTTCCCACAATGCAGCACTATTTTACATCCAGGTCAATACTGTAGATCACAGGCAACAAGAGGCTGGAGGGAAGGAAATACAAAAAGAAAGGTGGGTTTATTTCTTTCAACACGCCCCTTATTTTCACCCATCATCATTGGCCTGGTCAGTGCAACATGACGGCTGCACACTGACCACCGCACCGACCAGGAAGAGCCCGTACTTACACACAAAGGAGTCTGTACAAATACTGGGTACATGAAAAATACAGAGTAGGAGTAAACATGTACATATCCACAAATACTTACCATTAAAATAAGCCACCACGACAGCAGTGGTCCAACTGATCTAGATGAGAGTTTGGATGTTTGTCTATGTGGCTACACACACACACACACACACACACACACTCCTGCAGCCTCTCGTTTCTTGTATTGCCATACTTGGTTTTGTTTTCAGATGTGACGCCACTGAAGTCTTTGGTGAAAAACAACCATGTGTACAGGGTGGATTACACAGAGCAGCAGCTACTGTTTGTGTCTGCATTTTATTTCAGCGCTTCAACATTTCCTGCAGAGACAGAGAGGAAATACTGACATGTTCAACACAGCTCTCTTGTTCATAATCACACGTATCAACACTGGCTTCAACGTAGACTGGGTCGTCCCATTTCCTGAGTGGATGTTTGGCCTCACCACCTCTCAAAATATCATTGCAAGTGTAATGCAACATCAGCTGGTAGAAGGCCTCACTGTTAGGGTTAGTCCTCCGGTTCAGTTGATTAACATGAGTGTAGTTAGCATCCCGTTAGCCTCAGCTAACCTCAGTTAGCCTCCATGGGCAGGAGTGCGTAACCACGGTGACACGATGATTCAAAGGCTCAGAAGGTTCTGATTATAACAGCCGTGTTGCATTCACTGACAACAGTGAAAGTAGGACAACTCAGTGGAGGTTGAAGCAGGTGCCGTGACCTTCAGCTGGCTGTGGTCAAAGACTTCTCTCTGCTCCTCGTCTCAACTTAAACACTTCACTTATTTAAAAGCAACAAGGATAAAAAATGTTTTCAACCCCACTTCATCCTTGAACCCAGTTCTTTTCAGTCGGTGGGTGATCACACCCCCCACAATGGCACACACGCACGTGCACACACACACACACACACACACACATACATACACACAATCAGGCAGGTCAGTGCATCACCTCCTCTTTTCTCTCTCTCTCTCACTATGTCTCTCTCTTTGTCTCAAAGTCCGTGGGGGAGGACGCTCCTCACCCTCCTCAGCTCAGCTCGAACCCTGCAGCTGACTCAATGGCGTAGAGCAGCTTGTTCCTCATGAGGTGCTGGTCACAGAACTCCGGGAGCTTCAGCAGGTTCATGCAGGTGCTGGCGGTGGGCAGGCGCTCCAGGTCGGTGCCCCCGTTGTGGATGCAGAAGGCCGGGTACAGCTCCTGTCAGCACATGGTCACAATCAGACTGTTAGCTCTTAGCAAAGCAGAACATCATCGGCAGTGGTTTGGGGGGTGACGGGGACACAGAGCCACGGTTTGACCCTTGGATGAGACAGATCTATCTGGCATTTTTTAAATCAAGCCTCCTGATGATGAGGCCAACTCATCTGCAGACTCTGACACCGACCGTTTCCATCACACGCTGAGGCCCAGCTCTGAGCTGCGCCTCCCGTATTTAACCCTCCTCTTTCAAGTCAGCCTCTGCCGTTCACTGGCAATACCGGCCCGATTAAATGGCTCTTTGGGGGTTCGGCCGTAATGACCTCATTTTTCTGACAATTACCGTATTAAACTATCGTTGCTTATTGAGAAAGTGTCGTTACCTCGGCCATCATTTTAAAAAAAGAGTTTCCATCATGTTTTTTAAATGGCTTCGTCTGACAGAGCTATTTCTCCTCTAATGAATCCTGGACCCTTTTCACGACAGCTAATTAAGGCTTAGCTGGCTCAGGCTGTGGGCCGGGTCAGGGGCTGCTCCCTCCACAAATTACTGCCCCGTCCTCGGCCTGAGGGAGACGTGGGGGGGGCGGGTGGGGG